GAAGGTAGACTTTACCTTACAAGCATTTTAAAAACAATATATTTCTGGCCTCCTCTACCCACCTACACACACACCAGAGTGAATGGCTCAAAGGAAGAGCATCACTTGAGATGTTTTCCTTGTAGACACTTCTCTTCCCTTGAGTTAGAGACTCGTCCTTTGGAGGGATAGAGCACAGAGATGGAGGGGGCAACAGGAATGAAGGCTGCATGGCTGGTACTACTACTATCTTTAAAGTGCCTCCATATTTCTTTCCAGGGTGTCTTCTGTGCAGATTTCCCTAAACACATCTTACCACATTTCCTGAAATACTGTAAAACCAGAAGCCCTAAAGCAACTGGATTGGGACACCAGACAAGATTGCCTAAGGTTGATTTTCATCCTCCTGAGATCATCTAAAGGCCCCAAAGTTGTTATTCCCTTCCCCCCAGAGTTCATACTGCACCACTCTGATTCCCCTCTCAAATGCCCACTCCCCTTCCACTTATATGGGGTAAGTCTCTGATGCGTGATTTTGAGAGATTCAATGGTGATGAACCCAACTGTACCCAGGGGGTGCTTCAATTTATCCTCTAGGCCCATCTTCTCTGAAGGTTGTAACTGCAGAATGCTCACTGAACCTCTCAAATTTCCTCAAGCTGAATGTGTGTTAAAAACACATCATTTTCCCAGACTATACCAGCCCACTGCCCCTTTCTTCGCAAGAGACACCATCATCATCCTTGTCCCAGGGCCCTGGGTTTCCATGGTCTCTTCCTCCCTTCTGTCTCACTAATGCTGTACCTACCTCTCCCCTTTCCCCTGCCTCACCACAAGCTTCTCACTAATGTTGCCACTTAAAGTTATGGTGTGACAGAGGTTCTCAATCAAGGCTGCAAATCAATCACCTATAAAACTTACTGGGGGAAAATAATAATGCACAATCCTACCAAGCCTGGCACCCTGGAGGCCCAAGTGATTCTGATGAAGCCCAGGTGAAAAAAAGTTATAAAGGTTAAAAGGAAGGCTTCTGGCTGGGTGTGGTGGTACATACCTATAATCTCAGGGGCTTGGGAGACTGAGGTAGGCAGAGGGCCAATCTCAACAACTGATTAAGACCCTGTCTCAAAAAATATAAAGTGCCGGGATGATGTAGCTTAATGTTAAAGCACCGTGGGTTCATTCCCAATACCAAAAACAAGAACAAAAAACAAAAACAAAGGAAAAAAGAAAAAAATAATAATCTTGGCAGATACAGGCTCAAACATCAGAACCACCACTTACTAGCAACATAACCTTGGGCAACTCACTTGAGCTCCTGATCCTCAATTTCCTTCCCCACCAAAAGGGAATAAAGGTACATGAGACAGCTGAGAAGATCAAAAAGGTGATGCCCTTAACAAAGGGACTGGCAAGGAACAAATGCCATCACCACCATGCTGAGTCTCAGTACTTCCTCTGTAGCACAATGTTATGCCATTCATTAAAGTAATGCCATAGCTGGTCATCTTCTTGTCCCCAAGTCCTCCCTGCTTGTTCCATAGTATCCCAGATTAACATTCCAGCACAACAAATCTCACCTCCCAGAAGCAAAGCCTTCACTGATCCCGCATGACCAACTCCTCAGCACCGCATTCCAGGTTCCTCATTACCTGGCCAAGACTTTTTCAACTCTGTTACCTGAATCCTGTTGTTCCCTAATTGGATTTATTACCAATCCTATCATTTACCTACTCAACTCTTCTCAAATCCAAGTTCTTACTTTTTGAGACACTAGCTATCTTTTGAGACCCAGTTAATAAGCCACTTTTTGCATGAAGCCTTTCTTCCAGACCCAGAGTGATCTCGCCCTTCTGACTACCCAGACCCGGTGTGTACACTTATAGTACTCGCTTCCTGTCTCGTACTGTTTTCTCTGCACATCATTACTTCCCATCAGAACATAGGTAAGTAGTGATCAAACATACTCTGTTTCCCAGAAATTTTAATCCCCATTAAAAGTGCTTTTAATGGGGATTAAAATTTCCCTAAATAGAAAGTGCTCAGTAAGAATTTGCTACATAGGCTACCTATCTACCTTAGGCAATTCTCACTCTAGTCTACTCCTAGAATTTTGCATACACCGAGCAGACATTTGTGCAAGGATGAACACATCCACTGCTCTGGCATTTTCGGTTTGCCATCATGAACTTGGCACTTAAGAGTTCTATGGTTACAAATCCATGCTTAAGTATACTTACGAACTTAAAAGTGAAAACACTCAAGTTTCAGTTAATTTACACCTATATTCCCTACCAAAATACACCTTAGTATTCACATGCCTTAAAAACTCTGGTGAGGTACTCTCTGCACCAATCAATTTGCTTTTGAGAGATTATTTAAAAAGTCAGTGTATCTTACCTGTACAATTCCATTTACATGAAAACACATCACAAGCTCTGGTACATTGCATATCAAGTTGTCCAACCAATAGTCAATTCCAGTTAGCACATTGATTGGTTTGTTGTTATCCCTAAAAATATATATTTCCAGTGTTATTTGTTTTCATTGAGATGTTCCATGAGTCATCTGTGACTTATTTCCCCATGTAAGTATTTTACTCTATGCTCCCTAGATGAAAATGCCATAAATGCTTTGTTTGATGAGACACAGGCACATAGCTCAATGATGTTATATTTTCACATCTTTCCAAAAGCTGTTTCCTATTTCTAATTGGCACTAAGTTTTCAGTACGAACAGAAAGATGATTGAACATACTGTTCCTTACACAATCTAAGGCAAGATTGAGCACACACAATAATGCCCAAGCAAAAATTCACACTAATATGAATACTCATGAAGCATTAAGAAGAATGCTCACAATTATTTAATAGGAAGTTAGCAAAATATCTCCTTAACTAATAAATTTTCTTGTATTCTCACAGGTTGCAGATTGACACATAAGAATAAGCCAGTACAACAGACCTCTGGCTCTATTCAATTAGGTCTAGAATGAGAGCTTAGCTATGGGGCTTTCAGCATTTACCATTTCAAATGGCATGGGAACAAGGGAGGTGAGAAAATCTAGGGAAAAAAGAGGCTACCCAGACAAATAAGGAAAAGCAAATGGAACACTAAATCTAAAGGAAGCATTTAAAAAACATAAGCACAAGAGGGGCATGGTGCCGTTTACCTGAGACGTAAGCTGACCGCTGGATACCTGCCTCCACCAAAGATGGGCATGTTGGATCCCACCAACATGTGGATGTCTTCAAATGTCCACAGGATATTCCGAACAAAATCATTTTTAAGACCCTTTGATTTAAAAATGGAGAGATTATAATAAACAAAAGATCCACAGTATACCCCATGATCCACAGAAAGACCAGAAAAAAAAAAAAAAAAAGAAGATAGAGTAAGTTCCCAGAGCTATAAGATCAGAGAGATGTGTACTAGGAATTCTCAGGATCAAGTGGATTTTTTTTCCCTATCAATTCCAATTGATACTAGTTTTTGGATGACGAAGTGGACCGTGGACTAGGTGTCTTGACTTGGCCATGTGGAAAGCATACCTGACTGTTCTCCCCGTCATTGAATAAAGTAGTCAGGTTTTGTTCTTTGGGTGCTGAGGCCACATGCCCCACTATGTATGAGGGCTCAAGAGGCTCACTTCCCTGTGAAAAGTGCAAGGATAAGGAGTGATTCTGCTGCCAACACTTCTTAAAATTGACCCATTTTTAAAGAGTATTACCTAAAAACCGAAGCACTCATCTCAAGTCTACCTTTGTAAATTAAGCCAATACAGTTTTCATTCCCTCATTTTTTTTAGTAACATTGATTACTACTGCTCTTTTGGGTTACCCCATCTCTACTCAATAGAAAATTCTAAACACCTCAGTCATAATTTGAGAGTCCTGTCATCCAGACAGTCTCTAGTTTAATATGTCCTACATGAGCTTCAAAGAATTCCAATCCTGGACACCCACTGAAATCTTATCAGAGTCAGGTTGGAAAAAAATGCTACTTACCATTTTATACTTGCTTTTGAGAGTGACAATGTTTATTGTTCGAGGACTAAAAAATGGTCTTTCTATAGAAATCTACTTCATCCTTATATAATCCAAGGTTTAAGCCAAACATAGTCAATCTCACAATACTTTTTGTTCTTAACATATTCTATGGAATGCATTTTGCATTCTTCAGTTTTTCAACCATTAGGACAGTTGGTATTAAGAAATACTACTTTAAGCTTAATTTAATGTCAGTGTTCTACTTGACCCCAAGATGGACATGTGTATGTGCTGCTTATTCCATGAAGATCCATCCTACTCCTCATCTATGTGTGTGCCTGTGCAGTGGGCACGATTCAAGTCAGGGGAGACTGCCAGCATCTTTGCCATCTTGTTTTCTCCCTCAGGAGTCCTACAAGGACATTGAACTCCTCAATCATTTGTTTATATAGACACATGATCAAGCTATGGGGTCAGTTCCCAAAATTATATTTGTGAGGTAGCTTCAGAGGGGTTTTAGACTATGATAGGCTCAACGGTCTCAAAAAAGTTTTGGCTCCAAGGCTATACCACAGACACCCAAGTAACCTCTGTAACTGCTAAACAAAGGCCTCAACCTAGTGGTTTTAGTTGTGAGAACAAGAATTAAAGAGGCGACAGCTTGCAAACAGATCTCCAAATTTTGAAATTCACTTCAATCTGCTTCTAGAGCCCTCCTAAATGGGTGGCATTTAGGGACACGGTGGAGTCCTGCTGTAAGAACTGGTCTCTGAGGTCAGAAAAGATGTGTATGGAAACCCTAGCCTAGATTTCACCAGCTGTGTGACCAAAAGAAAATCATCTCCTGCTTATAAGCTTTCAATAACAGATTTGTAAAATGATATCATTGATACTCACTGCATATGCAACTCCACAGGTGAAAACAAATTTATACAAACATATATTAAAGTTCATGGCTTTTGGGGCACTAAGTAAATGCTGGTCTGCTTCTGGCACATGCAAGTCTACAGATTCTTAAAAATCTCTTTTTTAAGATTTTGCACAATAACTCCTAATCAAGGTAAGGACACAAGGAAAAGGTTAGCAGAAGGACAATGGGCAGCAGCAGAGCAATATTTCTATTACTTGGTCATTTTTGTAAGGTATAGGCTTTGGAAACAAGGAATACTAGATGAATTTTTAAAAAATCTTTGGTGACATATAATAACATATAATAAAGTATAAAAACCAAAGAATTTAGAATAATAAGTACAGCTAGGCCTGGTGTGCATGCCTGTAATCCCAGCAGCTCGGAGGCTGAGGCAGGAGGATCAGGAGTTCAAAGACAGACTCGACAAAAGCAAGGCACTTAGCAACTCAGTAAGACCCTGTCTCTTAACAAAATAGGGCTGGGGATGTAGTTCAGTGGATGAGTGCCTCTGAGTTCAATTCCCAGTAGCTCCCTCAAAAAAATAAAAAAAGTACAAATAAATTTAGGTTTTATTATGTTTCTGACAATGCTGAGGATTGAACCCAAGGCTTTACCATGCTAGGCAAGTGCTCTATCACTGAGCTACACCCCTGCCTCTTTAATTACAAAGCAAATTGCCATGTAACTATTACCCAAATCATAACATGGGACACTGTTATAGTACTTAGTACCCTAATATGTCCCTTCTCAATCACAAAATATCCCCACCTGTTGGTGGTTACCATTGTGACCTGCATGTTAATTACTTTCAAAATTCATTGTGTTGTTTGATAGAAGGTTTTCACACTTTAAAACCTACTATAACTAAAATCAAGTTAAATGTGTTCATTCCCTATAACCCTATAATTTGTGAAGACTAAAACAATCTGGTTGAATAGTGTTCAGTTTATGGGAACACATAGCAAGAGAAAAAAAAAAAATTACCAAGTTTAAGATCTTATTTTCAGCCAGGCATGGTGGCACTCACTCCTATAATCCCAGTTACTCAGAAAGCTAAGGCAGGAGGATGGCAAATTCAAGGCCAGCTTTGGCAACTTACTGAGACTGTATCTTAAAATAAAAAATACAAAGGGCTGGGCATTAGATTAGACAAAGGGGAATGAAGGGAAGGGAGGGGAGATGGGAA